CTTTGTGTGACCAACAGTATTCATCAACCTTCTTTTCTATTTGATGCCAGAGAACGTTCAGAGAACCAAATAAATCTGCTACAAACTCAGGAAGACGTCTTCACATGTCTCGTTTAGTCCAGAGTTGCAGCAGTTCATGGATTTCTATGAAACCAATCTCCATCCATGAATCCGTTTGAGCAAGTTGAACAAAAACACTTTAAATTCTGTTTGCAGCTTCTTCACTGTCAATGTTTTCTGGTTTCTTTCCTCTGTGACAGAAAACTGAACATCTGTGGACAAAACCAGACCTTTGAGGAAACGCTGATCTACACGTCTGAGCTTTTTCTCACACTTCAGACAGTCGATGGATTCATCCAGAAAATAATCCTGAACATACTGATTAGCTCCAGAATGAACCTTCATCAAACCAAAGTCCATTTGAAAAAGCTGTGATTTAAATCCAGACGGAGAACGTTATAGAAGGACCTGTGAGGAAGATGTGTGCTGCGATGTCCTGGCAGGTGTTCATGCAGACTGCTTCCATCATGTGACTGGTGCTGGACCAGAGAAGTCCTCCAGACATGTGAAGCTCTTCCTGGTGCACAGTCCAGAAGAGCTTCAGGGCTGATCACAGAAATGGTTTCATGAAAAATGAATCATGTCGGTAGCGGCCATCTGGACGGTCCGAGGACCGACATGAACAACAGAGCAGTGGAGACGGGACCTACATTGGATGGATCAGGTTATGAAACCACCAGCATTCATGAAACTGGCAGCACGACGACAACTCCGACCTACAACACAACACTGGGGAGGTCAGAAGAACACGACACTACGGTGAATGTTCTGCCCTTCTGTGGAACCTCAGTGGTTCTCAAAGCGCTTTGCAGTGTTCCTCATTCACACCAGTGGAGACAGAAGGTGCTGCCGGCCATCAGGAGCAACTCGAGCTTCAGCGTCTGGCTCAAGGACGCTTCGGTAGTCGGAGGAGCCGGGGATGGAACCGCCGACCTCACCATCAGCAGACAA